GAATTTAATCAACTTTTATCAGAGATTCATCAACCAACATTTCCTGTGCTTCCTTGAAAACTTCCCACAAACAGTTTAGATTCATCGCTAGTTACTGTTTCATTGCTTGGGTTTTATTTTCAGTTATGGATTTTTTGTTTTGCTCAAATTCAGATTTTTTAAAATGTTTTTATCATGTTTATATGTTTTCTCAAGTTTGTTTCAGATGTTTCTAAAAGTTGTATTATGATTCAGAATTTTAAGTTGTGACTTTGTATCACAATTGCAACTTTATTTCCCCACAGTTGTGACTTCTGCAGTTATGATTTTAACCCTTTCACGTGTACGATCACACCGGTGTGATCAGCCTTGGCTGGTCCCTGAAGCAAACGATCAAACTGGTGTGATTAGAATGTTCAGAGTGCATGTCATCAACTACTAAAAATCAAGTCTGACAGTGTGCGCTGAGGCACAGAAAGAGGTGCGGAGCACTTGTCATAAATCACAATTTATCTGAGCTTTCAAACAAATAACATTCAAGTACATATAACTACAAGCAAAATATACCATTTAAGGTTTGTAAAATACAAGGAGTTTTCTATGGAGACGGCAACAATTATTATTCAATTATTGTTAGATAATTAATATTCAAAATATTCTTAAAATAAATATTATATAATAACAATAATAATAATAAAACAATAACTGGATCATGTGCTTTGTCCACTTAAGATGCACAGTGTTTATGTTACTGGAATATTTTCTGTATTCCTCTCCCAGGTAAACAGATAAACATATCTTAAAATTGTGACTGTTTTTTTTATAGTTGTGACTTTTTATTTTAGAAATGCATTCATTTATTCTGTAAAAACTTAAGGTAAACTGAAAATCCTAAATTTGTGTATTCATTTCTCATAATTGCTACTTGATAGATTTTTCTAGAATTGTAACTTGATATTACATTTGCAGTTTTGTGACCACATATTTTAGTAGCAACTTTGTTTCTTGTAATAATGGCTTTATTTCTAATATTTGCTCATTTAAATTGGTACTCTTGCAACGTCATATCTTAAAAATTTGACTTTTCATAACTGGGACTTTGTTACAGTTGCAGTTTAATTTATACATATTTATGACTTTGTATCTCATAGTTATTCCCCAAATGTGAAGTAACTGACTTTTTATAATTTTACTTAATATTGTGTTCTGATTTTCTTTTCAAAATTGCAACATAAAGTTTTTTAGTGAGTTTATTTCTCATAACTGTGACTTGAGACAGTGATATCTCATAATTGCAGTTTAATGTTTTCAATTACCTCTTAACCGTCACTTATGCTTTCTGACTTAATTTTCTCTTCTTATTTGACAATTGGTCTAGGTGTAGCATAGTGCTAGCAATCTTCGTTTTTTTAAGACCAAATGTTCAGTTTAAGTTTTTCACTTGCAGGCCTTGAAAATGGCAACTCCCTAGTTTCAACTCACTTTAACTACATGTCTGTCTGCCATCACTAGCCTCTCTAAGAAAGAGCTGCTTTTAGTCGAAAGTGCTGCACATTAATCATACTGGTAGAGCTGCTAAGGTTATCCTTATCAAAATAGCCTTAATGTACTGTAAATAGACATGATTTTTGTTCTGTGATTTTAGCATGAAGAGACAGCTTAATGTACACAATGCAGTTGTGCTGCTGGTTTCCCATGAAACGGCAACAGATTTCTTTAATAGTAGGCGTTTGAACCATGTACAACCCCACATTTCTTCAAGGCTGTTTATAACATCCCTTTTTTTGCTGTTCACAAAGATTAATAGTATGCCATCACTGCCTTGTCAAGCCTGTTTAACTTTCTTTGCAGCTGTGCAGAAATAGTTTTTTTTTTTTTTTTCAAAATAAAATCAATTTTTAAAAGAGACACTTTGCTTTTTCACATTTTCAATTTTAAACAGCCTGCTGTTTAAGCCTGCTGAATAGTGGAGCAGTCTAATCTTAACAAATTCCAGACCATTGTTCGCTCAAGGTCATCGAGGTACGGATGTTCGAAATATCCCAGAAGCCCCACAGTTGTCTGAAGGAGCACATCCTATTGGGGCCCCGTCCCGCTTTTGAGTAACGACTACCATAATACTTCTGAAAGCTATTCAAGTGCTTCAGTTTTAGAAAGCTCTCGATTTCAACAAGCAGTTAACAAAGGGCTCTCATAACTTCTGCACTGTAGTCTTTAAATGATGTTAAGGTTCTGTGGGTTTAGTCTTAGTGTATACTTAAGGTTAAGATATATCTCATTCTTAAACAGTATGAAGATGTATTTGGTCATTCAGAATTGTGTCACTGGTGTGTTGTTATGGAAGGATTTATAAATAATGTCTTTAAATTATGTTAAGGTTCTGAGGGTTTAGTCTTATGTTTAGGGTTTAGATATATCTGAATATTTAAACTGTGTGAAATGTATTTGGTTTTTAAGAATTGTGTCACTGGTGTGTTTTTTATGGAATGTAATATAACGAGAATTTTTTTAACCCAAAAATGTGTTGTCATTTGAAGAGTTTGATGCAAAAACCCCTGAAGTGCTGTTGGAATGTTTCTTCTAAAATGAACATTTTTCTGAAGCTCCGTCATCTTTCTTTATTTAACTTTAAAGACAGTGAAAAAAAGCTATTCATTGCCATAAAAGTGAAATTACAAAACCTACATAAATGAGCCCAAGAAAAATATTAATCTTTGGAGAAATTAAGTGTGTAAATATGTTTGTATAGCGTTCTGAGTTGGCACGTTGAGTTAAGAAACTTGTAAATGCAGCTTAAGTTCATAGTCCTTGATGATTTTTTCCCCTCTTTTTTAAATTAATGGGACATGTTACCCTTAAAACTTGGGCAAAAGTGAGTTTTTTTCCCCCTCAGACAAAAAAAAAAAGCTATTTTTAAATGTTGCAGCTTTATTTCTTGTGATGGTAACTCTTTATTATAACTGTGTTTTTTTTTTTTAGTCTAACTATTATGACTCTCAAAACAACACTTTTTTTTACTATTTCAACTGGAGCTGAGTGATTAATCTTTGAAAGGTTGCTGTCTTATGTGTTAATATGTGTCTTCTTTCTAAAACAACCATATTTTGCATATTTATTAAACCTGTTTAGCTGTGCATTGAAACCGGTATTCAACCTAGAGAGAGCAGTTGTATAATTATGAAACGGTGTTAGTCTTTAGTTATTTTGACCGTTATGCTACTTTGTTACATCCAAGCTATCACAACACTGCCCAAGTGCAGGATCTCTATGCAAACACCAAAACCGAACAAAATGCCTTTTAAGTTTATACACCAGCTTGGATTTTGTAGTAACGGCAATATTAAATTGCTTGTTTCTCTGAAACATGACAAAAGTTAACCAGACATAACTGATTTATAATGCAATTTTGACTAAAATTAAGTAGTTAGTGCACTTTGCCTTTGTGAGACAGAATACTGGGATAAGTGTTTATAGTTTGGATATAAACATGCTTGTTAACTAAAAATGCACCTATAACAATTTTTCAAGTATGAGATCAAGTATGAGTAAAAATATTTATTTCCTTGTACTTGCCGATAACTTTTTGTGTATATGGCAAGTAGTTCCAAGTAATGACTGAGTGAGACCAATTATTTTAGGGGATTATTATTTTAGTTACATAGAAATCAAACAATTTTCAAACCATTTTGGATTTAATTTGTAATTGTGTACTCATATCAAGAGTCCTGCTTTTCATACCTACATTTTATATACCAGGAATGCCCAAACTCTGTTCTAGATGGCCAGTGTCCTGCAGATTTTAGCTCCAGCTTGCCTCAACTCACCTGCACAAATCTAGTGAGCCTAGTAAGTGCTTGATTAGCTGAATTTTGCAGGACACCGGCCCTCCAAGAGAGTTTGGCCACCCCTGGTCTATACTTTTCTATACTTTTTTTTTTTTTTACTGGTCTATACTTTTTTAATAAGTCACATAAAGATGTAAAATAAATCATCTTTTGAAAGCAATGAAGGATGAAGCAATAGCATTTTCCTGTCAATAGATGTCAACAAACAAATATTGACAGTGTATTTATAATAATACACATAATACAAATAATCTGTTTTCCAGTTTTAGTACCTTTTTGAAATGTGAACATACCCTTAGTAATTATTAACTTTTCATAACATTTAACTCAACGTGTATTCCATTGTATACAGTGTATCTCTTAACCTCTCTAGACCTCCACTTTTTATAGTTGCTCAAAATCTAGTGTATAACAGCTGCAGAAAACTAAACTCGAGCTCACCTTGCACACCCACACCCGGTGAAGATCTAAATCTCTCGCTTGTTATGGAGCTCTTTTAACTAAGTGTTGATTGACTGAAGATTGGGGCTTTAATATGAGTCTCTTGGTATATGACCTTTGACCTGGTATGCTCTATGGCGGAGGTGCAGTCTGAAACTTGAGCCTGACCTTTCGGCAAAACTTCTTTCCCAGTTTGAGGGTGAGCAATGCGGGTCAGCATACCTCCCCAGAAAACCCCATATTAACCTCTACCACTCAATTACATCAGCAGACCACACCGCCCTGCCAGCCGACGGCCTGTTTATCTTTATTTTAATGGTCTGTTAATATATGCCAGCTGATATTAGGTCATCACATACAAAAATAACAAACAAAAAAAAATCAGTTAACACAATAAGGATGTGTTAACGTTGGGCCTAAATTACTTTTTAATGTCTCACAAGTACAGAAGAAAGGTCAAGGGAATAATTTAAAGTGACTTTATTATTCATTATATAGATTGTTTGCTGATGGCAAATAAATCTTCCCCAAAGACAAACATCAAAACAATAAAAGTGTAATACAGCTGTGGAATACAATGTGTCCAGTTTGGTTGGTTGGTTGGTTGGTTGGTTGGTTGGTTGGTTGGTTGGTTGGTTGGTTGAAAGAAAGAAAGAAAGAAAGAAAGAAAGAAAGAAAGAAAGAAAGAAAGAAAGAAAGAAAGAAAGAAAGAAAGAAAGAAAGAAAGAAAGAAAGAAAGAAAGAAAGAAAGAAAGAAAGAAAGAAAGAAAGAAAGAAAGAAAGAAAGAAAGAAAGAAAATAACACATTGATGTCTGATCTAAGAATGACAGTGTTTTTTGTCATTTAAACCACTAGATTTAGCTAGATTTACATGCAAAATAATTTGGACTGTTAAAATAAAGTCCAATGTAGAATGATTACACATTCTTTAATATGTTTTAGACAGGTACAGCTCAGGTTATGTTTGTGGTTTCAATTTTAAACAATGAAACGTAAATAGACCCTCACACTTACAGTAGACTGGCTATCATATCCACTGAGGATGGGCTATATGCACGCATTACTTCCGCGTTTTGTCTAAGGCCGCGGTCCAGCTTCCGGTCTGGGTGATTTTAAGCGGAGGTAAACAGTATTATGGCAGAGTCGTCAATATTTACTCGCTGTTTGGGAGTAAATTATGGTCAACGATGTGCAAATGATTGTCCGGATGTGCTCTACAACACCGCAGAGCAAAGCTTGAGAAGGGTTTCAAGTTGTATGCATCTTCCTACCTGTGCAATTATGAAGGTAAGTTCAGCTAGCCTGAAGGCTAACTTTAGCGTTAATACTCTTACGATCCGTCCATCTGCAGCTTTATCACGTAAGTAAAAGTAATCATATGTGTATGTAATTCTGTCTCAAAGTGTCAGGTAAAAACAGGGCAGGAATAAGATCTCAGTGAGAGCTCATTACTACCGATAGGTCTATGAAGAAATCGGAGTCTCCTCACCAGCTGAGAGTAGGACAGCATACATGTGAAATTCTGTCCCATTCATACTTTTACTGTTCTAAAGTGACCACCACTGTTCAGTTCGGATAATTACAGAAACACAGATGCTGTCTTAGCTTGTAAGCATGATTATTGAGCAAGATATATTAGGAATAAAATAATACAATCCCGTTCATCCACAACAGACAAATAGCACTGTGTCAATGCTGATATTTATTGCTGAAACAGTGGAGATGACAGATGCAGTGTAACAGTGTAGATAGCATGCTTTCTATTTAGTCGATAACATTGTAATTAAATGGGAGGGTGACCCAAAACAATAAGGTGTCATTAGTTAATTTCACATCAACAATTTGTCTATTTCAATATTTATTAGTTTTTTACATTAATGAACAAATGCTTATTCATTGTGCTTGTTAACTCACAATGTAATAGCTAATGTTAACAAGCATGACTGTGGATTTTTATTCATTAGTAAATTAGTTTAACAATGTTAACTATTAAATATTAAATAGTTATTTTAATAGTGTGCAAATACATTAATTAATGAAACCTTATTTTAAAGTGTGACTAAAGGGAGCTACTTTTAAATAATTTAAATTAATGATTTACTGTGTAGTTTAATCTGATGATATTGCTGCAGATGCCTTTAAAAAGAAGATATTTTGAAGAAAGCTGAAAACCTGTAACCATTGACTTCCATAGTATGAAAAAGAACTACTATGAATATCAGTGGTTGCAAGTTTCCAGCTTTCTTCAAAGTATTTTTGTTTGTGTTAAACATCAGAAAGAAACTCATACAGGTTTGGAACAAGTGAAGGATGAGGAAATAGAATTTTCAGTTTTGAGTGAACTGCCTTTAATGACTCTTTAAAAACCTATTAATATTCTTGTTTCTGTTTTCTAGGTAACATTATGAGATTCAGAGCTAGAATATTTTATGTGTTACTTCATCCTGGAGCGGACATCCGTCAGAAGATCCATGCCATCGTCTGCTAGTTTATAGCTCCTGCTCTTGTGTGGCTGAGAGTGGGATATGCAAACATTTGGTTGCTTTGCTTTTCCTGACAGCCCATTACTCTGAAATGTGTAATGTGAGTTGTCACATGAACAATTGTTTGGAATGGATCAATTATGTGTTAAGTTCCATGAAACAGATGGGTGATTTATTTATTTATTTAATACGTATTAGCCCAAATACCTCTCTATGCACAAGTTACAGAAGAAGCACCTGATTCAAGAAAACAACTGATTCAATGTCATTTTTTCTGTTCATCTGAATAAAATATTTTTTTCAAAATGTTACATTTTTTTGACAATTTTTATTTCAAATTACATACAGTGAATTATATTTTATATGTACAGTGAATAAAATAAAGGTCTTTATTCTGAATTAAAAAATTGCACTTAGAAAGTAGCTTAAGAAATGTTTATGTATATTAATGTTCATTTTTTTTACTTCAAAGGCAATGAAAATAAACTATTATTTGCCATAAAAGCTCCTTTCTTTAAATGTCTGCATCCGGTTGGCACTCGAGCCTCGATCAGTTTTCTAGACTGAAATTGTCAGCTACACTCTTGTTTTTTTCTGTTTCTGTAAAATTCTCACGTTTAATATCAACAACCCACCTCTTCTGCACGACTTTGTCTTTTGGAAACGTGTGGAAACTAAGGTAAGAGTTCAATTTTTGACGCTGTGCATTGCTGAACACAGCAGTGGTATCTACAAGTACTGTTCTCACGTCTTTGAAATGACACTTTTAAACGTTTAGATGTCATATTTATGTAGCCGACATAAACATATATAAGTGGGCTATAATGGCATAAAACATTAAGACAACTGTCCAAAACATTACTCGTTTTTATCAGTAGCGCTCCTGTTGTAGCACTGTACTGTACGATCGGCGGAAGTAGGCTCGGGGTCTTAAATTTTACCGGAAATGCGTCACGCGCCGCCGTGCATAGAGCCCATTGGCTATCATTTAGATTTTATCGATACTGATACAGCTTATCGATACCAATTGTTATCAGTACTATTATCAATACTTGTCTGTATGATTTGATGCAAAAAAAACAGATGTGAAATGTTGAATACTTTGTTATTTTGTTTCTGTTGAACTTCAGTTTGTAAATACATGTGAGCGAACAGAAGTAGGTTACGTAAAGTACAGAGACAAACCACACAAATTCAATGCTCGAGTTGGATGGAGTGTGTTCTTAGTAAATGTTTTATTAGATTGCTAATGCTGCCACCTTTGTTCTCTTTTACACTACTGCATATGTTGGATTTTCAGCTATTCCCCTCTGCCAAAAATCATTTGAGGAAGGTACCCCAAATTATTAATGAAATATTTTGGAGTTTATATTTTAATTATTTACAAGGCAGATATATGTAATGTACATTACTTACGGCCTAATCTACAGTTTATTGTAGCATAAGTGGTTAAATAATAATTTTAAAACTACATGACTTTTACAGTTGTTTTTATTTCCTTAATATCGGGGTCTAAGTTTTCAAGAACTTGTAACATCATTTGACTGCAGGAATCTTTCCCAAGGTTGTATACTTTATGTAATGGCAAAAAAAAAGCAAGGATCTTCAAATACTAAGTTCATGTCCAACGATTGATACCAGCGCATATTTTTAAAGCAGATTGAAACAGTTTGATGTAGTTAATTTGGTATAAATCTTTATTAATTCCATTATCAATTCCATTATTAAATATTGGAAAATAGTTTTGTGTTTGAATGTTATCACTCAATTGAATGGGTCTTATCAGTGGTAATCAGCTGATAGATATGTTCCAGTAGGGACGGCTGTAATCATCCATCCACATGGTTAATCAGCTATTTATCACACACAGCTGCGGCGTAAGCTTAACTAAGAACTTTTTTTTTTATTATTTATTAAATTTCCCAAAAATTGTATTTTATTAACTTCTGCCCCTACGCCAACCCTAAACCCAACTGTAACAGTAATGTGAAAACAGATGTGAATCTGGAGTCTTCTCTATTAGCATAGCTGATTATCCATGTGGATGGATGATAACAGCCTTCTGAGCCTACTAGAAGGCGCAGAAGGCCCCTACTGGCCCAAATCTAATCAGCTGATAACCACTCATAACGCCCATTAAATGGAATGACAACATTTAAATCGTATGAATGTATTGTGTACTTGTTTGTATTTTTGGTGGCTGATTTGTCTCTGAATGTGTTGTGAATCTGCTCTCTTTATTGAACCAATCTTAGGGAGACAAATAAAGATAAAATAGTTCTTGTTACCCTTTACTACAGTAGACATAATTCAAAGTTGTGTTTTATACTTCTGTAGTATATATTATGTATTGACACTTTCCTCTTCCTTTGCACTTAGTATTGACAATCTCTGGCCCCCCATTCTCCTCAGGTTTTTCCATGAACTAAGTCTGGAAGCCAAAACCTTATGATTTTTTTTCTCTCCCCAAGTGAGCTACAGCAGACGCTCGTTTGGAAACACAACTGTAAATATGAATGAAAGCTCCAGCAATGCTTTCTTTCTCTCTTCTTTTCAGAGGGGAATAAGTTATGTCTTATTCCCATTACTTTTAGAGGGACATGGGGCCTGTAAATTTGCTTTTATTGGGAGAGCATGAACTTTATTCCCTGAGCTCCTCTCAAATGGATAACCTCTTACCTGCAGCCTGAGTTCTTTTCTGTTTTAATGCCTTTTACAGCTTCGGATATGAAATAATGTCTTAGTGCAGATAGTTTAATGATATGTATAATGTATAATGATTTGTTCTGTTGATACAAACCGAGATAAATAGGTCATGCAAACAGTAAGAAACTGCAGGTGAATATAGGGTAAATAATTTACTAATAAATCACCATTCTTCACTAGTTGATTAATTATGTTAAGATTTGCTCAAATGTTTTGTATTTATTAGAAACTTTCGGAATTTTTGTTTGTGTTCTTTTTATACACTAATGTGTATATAAAACAGATTTGTTACTTTTTAATGTTTTTATGTTACTTTCCATTTTTTCTTTGTCATTCAATAATTTAGAAAATATTTTGAGCAGTTAGGAGAAACAAATTCTTTATACAGTTAAAATCGAAATGATTAACCCTCTTCTGATTTTTTTCTTTTTTTCAAATATTTCCCAAATTATGTTTAACAGGGCAAGGAACTTTTCACAGCATTTCCTAATTTTTCTTCTGGAGAAAGTATTATAATATTTCGGCTAGAATAAAAGCAGATTTATTTATTTTTTACCATTTTAATGTCAATATTATTAGACCCTTTAAGCAAGATTTTTTGCGATAGTCTAACTTACCTAATTAACCTAGTTGAGACTTTAAATTGCACTTTAAGCTGAATACTAGTATCTTGAAAAATATCTAGTAAATTATTATGTGCTGTCATCATGGCTGTCGCGATCACCAGCAATCTAAGCTTCGCAGATTGCTGGAAAACATGCATCATCACCCGGACTACAATTCAACCTCCATATGAACTACAACTCCCTTCAGGCACCACATACAGACACCTGTTCTGGTTCACCTTTGATTACACACACAGCTAGGAGCTGCTCAAGAACTGATCACTCAGACTATAAAAACTGCTCAGATTGACACTCACATTGCTGAGTTTTGTTGGTATTAACCCTGTAACTTTACAAAGCATTTTCTGGTCTAGTCTCTCCGTGTATTATCTTTTCCTCGTTCTATCGTTTACGTTGTCTGCCACCTGCATCCACCATCTGCCTGTTTCCGAAACTACACTTCTGGATTATCTTGTATGCACCTGTTTGCACCTGTGAATGACTATTATCTGCCTGACTACTCTTATTAATAATGAACTGCATGCGGATCCTTGGCCTATGTTATCCAGCATCTTCAATTGCAATGGCAAAGAAAGATAAAAGAATTCAGTTTTTAGAAATGTGTTATTAAAATATCATGTTTGGAAATGTCTTAAAAACATCTTCTTTCTGTTAAACAGAAATTGGGGAAAATATACAGAAGGCCTTATAGTTCTGATTTTAACTGTATACAATATGATCAGATAAATTATGCATATCCCTCTGTAAAATTCTTCTAAATATAATGTAGTTATGAATTAAATATATACATTTTGGTGTATGTAAGTGTTGTTAAAGTGGACATTTATAGCCTTTACAAATTGTGTCCTTAAAAAAAATTTATTGTAATTAAAATCCACACTCAAATTAATAAAGTTAAATAAACTAAACACTTACATCTGTATTTATTATGTTTTCTTTCAATTATGACTGAAAAAAAACACATTAAGAGGCAAAAATCCTAAATTTTCGAAATTGAAGATTTTGCCTGCAGTGTCTCTCCTTATTTACTGATATGCCTTGGCTTACATGGAGTCTCAATGTTTTTTTCCTACACCTGGAAGTCAGTCATGAGTAATGCGTAATTACTCAAGGTTCCCCTCTCTCTATAAAAACACGGCGGCTGTGTTCAACATGCATGTTCTTGTCATTTAAACAGCCGTGTTTGCGTTATGATCTATACGCTTTGGCTTTTTAAATCACAAGGTGTGACAAATCGCAAGCACATATCAAAACAAACTGGAGGAGCTTTCTTGGACAAAGCTTGTTCTTGACTCTGCTTAGTGATTATATGAGTCATGTTGTCATTTTAATGGTGCTTTGCCAGATCTTTGAGCCAATGCTGATTACAGCATGAACTTCAGGCGCGCTTTTTGGCAGACAAATATAGATTCATGCAGAGCCCAATAACATATGAAGTACAGTAAATAACAGTGGTGTCAGGATTTAATTTTAAATCTTGTGCACAAGCAAATGCATTCACACCCAATTGAAAGGTTCACAGTGAGTGTGATATCAACACCATTGTTTATTAAGACTCTGTTATTAATTTATTTATTTACTTATTTTAAAATGTACATATATTTTTGCATAACAACATTATTACACTATTTAATTATAATAGTCAAAATTTAGTACTAGCTGTAGTAATAAAATGTAGTAAAAAAAGATTAATAAAATTGCTAAGTAATATTTGCTGTGTATTCTTAAATTGTAAGCTTGAATATTGGTCTAAGTTAATTACATTTATTTTATAAAGTGCTCATTTTAGGCTGACTAATTCTTTATATTTATATTTATTGTAAATAATAATTTAAATGCAAATGAGAGATTTTGTTTGCATTACTTTAGGGTCGTGTTTGCACTGTTGTCTAGTGAACATAATCTCTTTTGTGTTTGTGTACTTATAAACACGATTCATTGTTTGTTGACTCCCAATATCACACCTCAGCTACAGGTCA